GAAAACGAAGAACTGTAACTTAATTTCTTATTTTATTATATCACTATATGAAACGTTTTAGCGTTAAAGAGGAAGATGCAGACATGATACCAGCGGAATCGGACCTCTTTACTTCGTTGAAGAGAGATCTGATTGATTTTGAGAACAGACTTCGTTCCGGAGGCTTGGGGGAAGTCGATGAATTACCGAAGTGGATTGCTTCTGTCGAAAGTGCTGGAACTATCTCTCTCTTGGTATCGTGTTTAGAACTTCGTTATTGTCCACCGTGTGCCCATTCATTCGTTGAGCAGTTCACTTTCGTTGTTAGTAGTTAATCGTTCAGATTTAAGCAGTGCACTACTTGCCGATAGGTTCGTAACTGTTTAGTGCCTGCAAGTTAGAATATGATGGGCAGCTGATAAAAACGATGCAAGCAGAATCCGGATGCGTGCTGAATTGAAAGAAAATTTCGCATTGAGCGATCTTGCAAGCATGATTGACTAGAATATGATATCTAATGGTTTGAAGGTTTGAATCTTGACTGTAGATCGCCTTAATTAACGGAATTCATAATCAGTAGTTGATTCTTCATTACGGGCGTACCTCCCATTTAGGCAATGTTAAACTAATGGCCGGACCCTTACGATAATGAACTGAACACTTACCTAAAACACTTATTTAGCAATGACAGAAATCGGTCTTTATGATACCGAAAATATCATTTGGAATATTTTCAGCATTGCTAACTTGGAGCGTGATGCATTTAATGAACCAGAATGTTCCCACTTGCGGTAACCTTTTTTTCTCATGTTGCAGGGCAAATTGATCAATAAAATTTCCTGCATAAATTCGATGGACCACAGATATTAAAAGAAAATTTTCAGAGCCAGTTATCTATTATTATTTATTACTATTAATTACTATATTCCGTAGGTATCTTCGCTTTTTACAGTTTAAGAATTACATAATCAAACCGGGTTTCTCGGCTGGCAGAAAGTACCCTACTACTTCCATATGTGTATTTACCGTTTAAGCAGAGTGGGTACTTACTATATGTTTTGCAGAAGTACAGTGTCATACCGTCGATACTTCAAATCCAAAACTGTTATTAGCCGGTTGTTTGCAGTAACTCATAAAACAGATGTTGATGTTGTTGACGTTTAAGAAAAAATTCACTGATGGCATTTTTTCATTAGTAAGTTTCAGTGACCGCGTATCCTCTTGGATCGCGGAG